TCCCGCCTCTCCGCTCCAGGAAGGTCCCGGACTAGCTCCTCGCGACTTCCGTAAAAGAGCTGGGGAAGAATGTAACTCCCTGGCGAGATCCTGGAGCCGAACTCGGCTGTATGTGTCCCTCAACCTGGGACCCTTCTGCATAATCCTAAACCTAAACCCCCTTGAGGGTCTCCCACCTCCAAATGACTATGTGTTCTCCCTTTCCACCTTCGTCCGGGCTCTTACCTCCCCTGAATCTAACCACGTGCCTATCTCAGACCCCCCCTACCCGCTCTGAGGCCCAGCACCTCCTATTTGTCCCCCTTCTACTTGTTCTCTGTTCCCTCCGTCCTCCTAGCTTTGGCCTTCCCTGAATGTCCCCTGCTTCGCGCCTCTCCTCCACTGCTGGATCTCCACGCCCCGCTCCCACCACCCCAGCTCGGGATCACCTTTCCTTCGGAGGGTCCTTTAGGTCCTCCTACATTACCTTTGTACCTTCATCCCCAGTACCCCTTTCTAGATGTCCCTCCTACAAATATACCTGCACTCATTCCTCCCCCACTCCCACCTCTTGGGCTTTTCAGAAGCCCAGTCTCTCTCCAGCATCCTCAGCAAAGGTGAGACTGAAACTGACAGCCTCAGGTTCCTTGATGTTAAGCACCACCCCCAGCCAGCCCTCCCAGCCACACGGGGACGCTGTCGGCTTTCTGTCCCGCACAAAGAGGACCCCGCTCTTGAATCTGGGGTGGGAGGAAGGGGCGGGTCAGGGCTGGGGTTGGGCGGTCTGGGTGGGGCCAGTCCAAAAGACTAGTTTGGGCCGGGAGGGGCGAGAGGGTGAAAGGCCGGAGAGAAAGAGCTCGGCACCAACCACTTAGAGTAGTGCAGGGGCGGGGAGGGCAGCAGGAGGAGGCTGTTCTCTAGTTAGTGCCCCGCGTGGGGCCACGTGATTGGAGAGGTCCCGCCCTCACCCTCCAGAGCCAGGTGTTCGAATCCCGTCTCCAGAACTGGCGGCGTCCTAGTCGGGTCGGCGTGACGCGCCAGAGGACCCGCCCTGAGGCTCATGGCAGCGCCGGTCCGCCTGGGCCGGAAACGCCCGCTGCCCGTTTGCCCCAACCCGCTCTTCGTACGCTGGCTAACCGAATGGCGGGACGAGGCAGCCAGTAGGGGGCGCCGCACGCAATTCGTGTTTCAGAAGGTGGGTCCCGGCTCGATGCGGACAGGTGCGGGCGGAGCCAGACAACCAGGCCCGCCCTGACCCAGTCCGGTACCCCTGCCCTCGCCAGGCCCTGCGCTCCCTCCGGCGGTACCCACTGCCTTTGCGCAACGGCAAGGAAGCTAAGATCCTACAGCACTTCGGAGACAGGCTCTGCCGTATGCTGGACCAGCGGCTGCAGCAGCACGAAGCATCAGGCGGTGAGCGAAAGAGTCAGGGCCGGTGGTCCCCGGAGCCTCCCCCAGGCGCAGCCTCCATAACCACCTGGGATGCCTTAGCTTCAGGCTCCCCACTCACGTCCAAGTTGCTGTTTGACCTCAGGCTAGTGGCTGGCTTGCCGAACCTCACCCCTCTCACCTACCACGGGAGCTGGCAGCGTTCCAGACCTTCCCGCCTGCTGGATTCCGTGGCACTGACTCTCTTCTGCTCCCGCAGGTGACCATGCCCCGAGTTCACCATCTGGAGAGAAGAGTCCAGCCCGGGAAGGGCCCCTTGCCAGAGTCCAGGACTCTTCCAAGCCAGTGAGAAGTGGGCGAGGGCAGTGAAAAGGAAAGTGGGAGCACCAGGAGTAAGATTTTCTGGCTTGGGTGACTTGGCAGGCCTGGGTCCAGATCTGCCACCAGTGAGGCCTGGCTTTGGGCAAATGACTTACTCTGGTACTTAGTTTTTTTCTCTGTAGGTGGAGATATTGAATGATAATAGAGTCAGGTGAGAGTTCCACGATCAGGCTATTTAGGGGGCCAAGCCCAGTAAGTCGTGAGGATTGCTATTATTGGCTTTTCTTGCCTTACCACCTCTGTTCTGCAGCCAATGGTAGAACTGAGGCTGGGTCAGGCAGATTACACCCCTCACCCCATTCCCACCCCTGCAACCCTCCCACCGTCTCAGCCCAGCTTTACAGGTCGTCCCATCATCAGACCCATTTTCCAGACAGGGAAACCGAGAGGCGGCTGGGGGACTTGCTCGGGCCATGTAGCCTGCCGAGACAGAATCCGACCCTCAGCCCTGCCAGAGATTCAGTCCACGATGGCTGATTGGTTTCTGCGTCCAAAGCCTCGGTGTATCTTTCAGATTCCAGCCCAGCCCAAAGCAGGGGGCTTGGGCGGCTACTGGCCGGCTCGGTGCTCGGGCGCACGCGCAGTGCTGCTGCTGCTCTACAGGGAACACCTGGTGAGCACGGGGCCGACCCAGGAGTCAGGAGCACCCAAGCAGTGGGGCCCGAGGCTCCTGGAGGGGGCCGGCCCCAGCACTGACCCTCCCTTGGTTACAGAATCCTAGTGGCCACAGCTTCCTAACCAAGGAGGAGCTGCTGCAGAGGTGTGCCCAGAAAGCTCCCAAGGTGAGCCCTGAGGTGGGAAGGGAGGGAGCCGAGTGAAAGGATGGAGCTGTGGATCAGACCCTAAGCCCACCAGAGACTTCTCTTCTTGGGAGCAAGCAGTGGTTTGGGGCCCAGGGAGTTGGACTGTGGTAGCACCAGGAGCTTTCTAAGGGTCTCCTCCCCTATGGACAGGTGGCCCCTGGGAGTACTCGGCCCTGGCCAGCCCTCCGCTCCCTCCTTCACAGGAACCTGGTTCTCAGGACACACCGGCCAGCCAGGTGGGGTCAACTACGGCGGGGCGGGGGGGCAGTGTGTGTGGGGGGAGAGAACGTGCATGACATTCTGAGTGGGGCCCTACAGTCACCCAGCAAATTGCAGGCCTCGTGCTGTTGAGATGGGTGTGGGAAGGGAGGCCTTACTCCCAAGAGCCCATACCGTGGGAGTACCAAGAGAATCTGAGAGACCAAGCAGTAGGTAGGGGGCAGGAGAGGGTGCCACAGGTTATTGGAAGAGCAGAACAGCTTTGCTGAAGACACAGCATTTGGACACATCTTAGAATTTAGTGGGGAGAGATGCAGGAGCGGCACTCCGGAGAGGAGGGAAAGGTGATCTGAGACGTGCTTATTGCACACTGAGAAATGTCCCTGGGCAGGTCCAAAGGAGGCTGATCTGAGGAACGAGAACACAGCCTGGGGGTGACTTGTTTGTGCAAGGGTCGCCAAGGCTGGTGAGACCAGCCGAGCTGGGGGCAGGCAGGAGAGCCTGCCAGGTGTGAGTGAAAGAGGGAGATCTGTGTTCATCTACCAGGTACTCACTGACTCCGGAGGGTCTGGAGCTGGCCCAGAAGCTGGCTGAGTCAGAGGGCCTGAGCTCACTGAATGTGGACATCGGGCCAGAGGAGCCCCCTGGGGAGGAGCCAGAAGTGCCAGGAGCAGCCTCTGCTGAGCTGTAAGGAGGACGAGGAGGGGCATGACAGGGGAGCAAGAGGGGTCCCAGAAATGAGGCCAGCCCTCTCTCCATCATCTACAGCTGAGCTGCCCCACCCACTGTGGGTTGTGGGGGGTGGAGGGGGCGGTGG